GGAAGCCTCCTTCTCTCTCTCCCACTCCCCCTGCTTGTGTTCCCTCTCTCGCTTTGTCTCTCTCTGTCAAATAAATAAATAACATCTTTAAAAAAAATAAATAAAGCAGAGCAGACACCACTATCCTGGAGGCACACTGCCTATTTCTCTGTTTCATATTCTTTTTAGACCTTATCTCTGAAGTTTAACTTATTCTGCATTTCCTGTGAAAATTATTTTATGCATTAATACAAACTTTTTGACATCTCAAAATTCAGGTGCTACATGATGGGTGAATCTGTTTCATTTCTCAGCAAATAGGTTTTCCCCATTCCACATTCCCACTCTAATCCCTCACCCAATCTCCAAAGGAAAAAAAAAAATTAAAAGTAATACATTTTTTGTTTTACATTGTATTTTCCTCAAAATACAAACACTTTCATTGAAATTCTCTCAATATTCCTGCAAGGAAGGAAAATGCAGTGTTATTGCCACTTGAAAGCAGTAAAGAAAAAAAAAAGGCTTAGAGTTTATCATGTAGATTTTTGGTGATGTTTCTCCTAATGCTGTCCATGGACCACTAGCATCAGAATAACTGGGAGGCTTGCTCAAAATCCATACTCTGAGTGCTACCCCAACTCTATAAGAACAGAATCTTTCAGAGCAGAATAAGGCATTAATCCTCAGGTGATTTTTGTGTACATTAAAGTTAAGGTATTATATCCTACTTTTGGACAAGGGTTTTGTAGAATGAAAACTTCAAGAGGACAAGCAATTTGGCTTATTCTCCCAGATGTCCCCATCATCTAGAATATTGGCTGACATTCATTTATCACACATTCAGTAATTACTGGTTGAGTAAATGAACAGAAAAGAACATGAAGTCATAGGCTTAAAATAGGACTAACAGGAAATAGGAGGAAGCATTTAAACATGCTAGAATCCTGGCTCCATTGTTTATTGGTGCTTGATCTTGGACAAATACTTAGCCTCCCTGTTCCTCAAAGTTCTCAAGGAGACTATAGTAATAGTACTACTTGCTTAGTTTGTTGTGAAGAATAAATGAATTTAAATATATAGAGTGCTTAGAACAATTCTGGTCTAAAACACTTAAAAACTTTGTCATTTAACAGTAACCAGCCCAAAGCCAGCCAGATCTGACCTAGATTTTCTCACTCCTTCAACACTTATGTATGTGTGTATATACATATATATATATGAATGACTTGGCAAACATCAGAAGGTCCTCTCTTTCCAAAATATCTCTTTCACCACACTACTTGGTCTTTCATACAGGGGTAGAAATTTCCACCATTGCAGTCATTTTTCTAAAGTAGATAGGGAAAACAGTGAGCGTTTGCTAGTAAAACAAACACCTGTTACTAAGGATGGACTGGCAATCCCAAACGAAGTTCCCCTTTTTTCCATTAGCTATAGTTTCCCCTGTTAACCCCAGCCAAAGATTAATGTGTCAGTGTGCTCGCCAATGAGCAGATTCCAAAAGTCTACCCAGAAATACACCCTTTTTATTTTCTTCCAGAATTTGAGAGACATACTTCTTTTAACCGCTGGGGTTAAAGAGAAAGGGAGTGGAGGAGTGAAGGGGTAAGTTTAAAAAAACGACGTGAACACAGAATTTTAAATCCTGAAGACATTCATTTAGCGATTTGTTTTTGTTTTGTTTCTGTTCGATCCAAAGCACTAAACCCCTTCCTGGAGTAAGCATTGATTATAACCAATATGAAGACAGGAGCGACCACTGTCCCACAGATCCTGCATCCCAAAGGAAGAACAAACAAACCAAAAGCCGTTTTCTCAAAGTCGACTCCCTAGATCTACATTCGATAATCTTGGCAGCAAAGTAGGGATGGATTGAGACTGAACACGAAACCTTTTCGCAAGAATTTGATTAAGTCAGATAATTAAAACCAGAAAACTTCCTTGTTTCTTCACCTGGGAGGCGCGACCTGGGAAAGAAGAGGGCACTTTGTCGCGGGCATTTCAGGTGGGGGAGCTGTGCGAAGTGTCTTTTGCGCCTCTGTCCGGAAGAAAAACAGAAGGTGGAAATAGAATACAGCTGAGATGCAAGAGGGCGTAGAATGAGAAATACGACAAAAGCATCAGAGCTGGGGCGAGGGTAAGAAGGAGAAAGAGGCGCGACTGCCGGGATGTCAGGCTCTTTGTCTTTAAAAGGCTAGCAGGGCCGAGGCGGACGGGACTGGGAGGCGCCAGGAGGCGGGGTCAGCACCGAGCTGGTCTCTGGCCGGGCGTGCCTAAGAAAATCCTGCCGGTCCCGCGCCTTCCGAGTTCAGCGGGAGTTTGCTGTGTGAACCGTTTAAAGAACCAACGAATGAATGAGCCTCCTACTGGCCTGGGGGCCTCGGGGCCCCGCGGGGCTGCGAATCTCGCGGACGCTCCGGGCATCCTGGGGCGCGCCGGGTCCTTTCCGCGCAAGCTGGGGCGCGGGGCTCCCCTGGCTCCTGGTGCCCGGAATCCCGCGGTGACGGGGGCGGCAGCGGGGCCGAGGGCGAGCGGAAGTCGAGGCGGCGCTCCCGAGAACAGCCCGGCAGCTGAGAACCTGGACTGTGAGCCGTGGGTCAGAGAGAAAGTGCTGTTTCTTCTGCACCCAGAGAGATGGTTGGGGACTCCAGGGGACCCTGCACGGGAAGAAGTGGCCGGTGGGGAGGACCAGGCGGCCGGAGAGGACCGGGAACCCGACTGCCCGTCTCTCTTCCCACGAGAAAAGCGAATTTCTGGCAGCCGTGTAGACGCTCCCTTCAGAGCCCTGCCGTGGGACCCCGCATCCCCACCCAAGTCCGTGCTTGTGCGGATTGTGGACTATCAGATGACAGAAGAAGTCCTGTGGACCTCATGGACGAAGGGCCAAATGACCGCACGGACCGAGGAGCACTCCATGAGCGCCATCACTTTTCGCACCAACAGGGAGTGAAGCACCAGGCTGTGGGGCGCCAGGACTCCGGAGAACCACCGGCTCTCCCCGTCCATGCCGCGGGGAGATCACCTCACGGTCCCCAAGGACTGGATTGCCCGAGGATATGAAACAGGAAAGAGGAGCCTTAGGAATGTTGCGGGCTGGTGGACGAGCGATAAGCCTTTAAGAAAATGCTCTTCCGGGAACGCCAACCTGTAATTAACCAACAGCAAGGACCTTTTATAAGGCTAGGGCAGCGCAGCAAGGAGGCAGATGACACTCCAGACAGAATGAAGAACTGTGAGCAACATAATACCTCCTTTGTGTCTTAAATACTGTGACGGTCTCGGGACCTAAGTCATTGGAAGAGGGGAAAGAAAGGTATTTTCAGATTGGTAAATTGTGGGCTATTTGAAATAAGAAAATCTGTTGTTAATTCTCACTTTGCAATACAGCTCAAATGATCTCTTTCCCTGCCAATCAGGGAGTGAAGTTTGATTCAAAGGGAGTGGGAGTAGATGGGGAGAGAGGCTTGTTTTAAAGCTGAAAAAGAAGGTAAAAAGGAATGGGAAAATTAAAATAAAGCAGCAAGTAAACAAAATCTTTCCTTTTTACTTTATTCTGATGTGCACATTTTTCTTTTTTTCATTAAGTGTTAGAAAAAAAATAATAACTAGGAAAAGAAGAGGGGGAGAACGGAAGACCCAGCTCTGAAGGTTAAATGCCATTTAAAGGGGCTTTACTACCCCAAAGTATCTAGTCTAGTAAAAATGCTTTTTATCTGGTTTTTATTTATTTTAATATTTTAAATATGGCAGATAAGTCTGATCTAAAGGTAGATAATGTATAGGTTGCCATAAAATAATTGTATATCTTACTTCTGTCCATCGTCTCTTATTAATATTTGTATTCAAAACCGGGTTGAAAATACATCTCTCTTGATGCTGTTGGAAAAAAAAAAAGTCTCTTGTGCTATTGAAATAAGTCTTTTTATTTGTTCCTCTTTTTTATTAAACACCATTTTTATTAACTCTGTAGTAGTGTGGTCTGGTTTGGGGATCTGTGAGGAGCAAAGCATTCCCTCTAGAGATGAACTGCTTGACTTTAGCACTGCTGAAGGAGTATTTGGTTACAGCAAGAACTAACAAGGTAAGTGGGATGCTGGCTTTTGAAGAGTAAACTGTTGAACAGTGCCCCCTACCTCACTCCTCGCTCTGTGCTCTTTATTTTCAGTTTAGAGTTTGAAATGCCCTCAAATATAATCTGATCCACCTCTTGCCTCCTGGCAGACAGGATAGGTAAGATACATCCCTGTATTACAGACGAACCAACCTAGGTGTAGAGGTCATGTGGCTTGGGTAAGTCACACAGCTGGTAATTGCATAGGCTTACTAAGTAGATAAGAATACGATCTTCTCGGGTGCCTGGGTGGCTCAGTTGGTTAAGCGACTGCCTTTGGCTCAGGTCATGATCCTGGAGTCCCTGGATCGAGTCCCGCATCGGGCTCCCTGCTCGGCAGGGAGTCTGCTTCTCCCTCTGACCCTCCCCGCTCTCATGTGCTCTCTCTCATTCTCTCTCTCTCAAATAAATAAATAAAAATCTTTAAAAAAAAAAAAAAGAATACGATCTTCTCCCTTCTAAAGGTTTGAGAATGGCCTTCAGTGGTACTTACTTGAAAGGAGTCAAAAGATGACAGGGCATCCTGGGTTTTCTGACTCATGTTTATGGGACGTGCTAGAAATAGCTTAATGCCCATGAGTTCTGCAAGGCCTTTTGGCTGGAGGATCACCACTGGCAGTTCTTAGGACTATGAGACCCACACTTGAGGGAAGAATGCAGCACCTGACCTCATCTGTGTTCAAAGCTACTTGGTAGTAGAAAAAGTAATATAGGCCCCATGAAGTGAATTATCTTTTCCTCCAACTGCTTTGGTCTCTATGTGAGGTTAAACTTATTGGCAGACAGTTTTCAGGCCTGACTTGATGAATTTGGTTGTGAGTCATTATATGCCCCCAAGTGATTGAGCATTGAATATATAGTCAGCAAGAAAAACCTCCTTAACATGGACCAAAACATCATTTGGTTGCCTTCTCTATGGAGGCCAACTCTGAAGTTCAGCTTCTTGGGTTCAAAACTGTCCCACTTCTTACTAACTGTGACTTTGGGCAAGTGCTTAATCTCTCTGTGCCTTTGTGTCCTTTTTTGTTAAGTAGAGATAATATATAGTATTAACCTCATAAGGTTTTTTTCTAGGATTAAGTTAAATGAAAAATACTCAGAATAATGCTTCACATATAATGAATGCTCAAAGTTAGCTGTTACTATTAGTGTTGTTGTAATTGTTTAGTTCACTTTTCATCCCAAGTAGGCATTACGTTTTTTTTTTTTAATAAAAAACAGTTGAAGGCATACAACACAAGGAATCCTGTACAATCCAACTGGTGATTTTTATTGATTCTTTTCTGCATTCCTGAAAGAAAAAACTTCTCCCTAGCTTTTCCCAGCATTAGTGGATCAGTAAATACATCCTTAAATTTCTTAGAAATGACCTCCACATCTTGTGATATTTATCCTATGATTCAACAGCCTAAGGTACACATTGCTTGACAGGGTCTTTGAGGAGGTTTCAAGTCTACTTAGTTCACCTTGGGCTGTAGGAGTTTTAAATACTTTCTTTAGGTGTCAGGTTTCTTTTCCCTCTGGGATTTGAAATCTGATGCCCTGTTGTCTCAGAAAAACAGAATAGACGCAGTTTTCATTTTATCTCCTTTCTGTCAAAAATGTATTTCTTCAAGTCAGCTTAACTCTTTTAGTCCAGATATGTTTAGGTTAATTTTATCTCAAATAAAAGTCATTTTTATTTTTATTTATTAAAGGTTTTATTTATTTATTTATTTGTCAGAGAGAGAGAGAGAGAGCACAAGCAGGGGGAGTGGCAGAGGGAGAAGCAGGCTCCCTGCTGAGCAAGGAGCCAGATGCAGGACTCGATACCAGGACCCTGAGATCATGACCTGAGGCAAAGGCAGACACTTAACTGACTAAGCCACCCAGGTTCCCCTAAAAGTTATTTTTAAAGCACTCACCAACCTCCTAGTTAACTGCTTACAACGTACTTAACAGATTTCCTTTAAACTGGTATCTCCCTGATACAAAGTAGTAAGTTGAAGTCCTGTTGAATTTGCTTCACAGGTTTTCCTGATCCAAGCAGAACCCAGTTGTGTGAGGAGCCTGAGGAGTCTTTTCGCATTCACAGTGTCCTGGGAGTGAATCCAAAGTGAAATCCGAGTGTCCCAATACGAAGAAATCTCCCGAGAATGTCTGGGTCTTTGCTCTTAGGTCTTACCTCCACTTTGTGTAAAAATGTGACCATCTGAAATTGCCTTAGGTGGATGAATCATAGCAAGGACTTTCAGAAACCACCTGGCCACTCAAGTGACCATAAGGCAAATTTCACACAACCACCATTAGGCAAGTGTTGACCTCTCTGAAAACCTTTGTCCACAACCTCCACCTATGTCCACAACCTCCACCACCTTTGAGATTCATTACATTTTACTTGCTGTTCTTATTCTTGTTGGTTATCACCACTACTTAATGCGCCTTTTTGCTTATAAAAAAGGAGAAAGACAAATCTTCCTGTTAAAAGAAAAAGTTGTATTCACTGCAGAAAAGTTTGAGGAAATATTTTGTGAGGAAAAAACAAAATTGGGAGTAAAAGAAAAATTCACCCATGACCCAAATCTCTTAATATTTGGTACGTTTCCAGTCTTGTTTTATGTATTTTATCCCATTTTTTCATGTGTATTTTATTCTATTTTTTATGTGTATGTGTATACATACCTATATCCTTACATTTTCTTGGTATAAGCTATATATAAAATCTAAGTATTATAAACTAAGGTATACTGATACTATTCAAGGAGAACCAGGAGCATGGGCAACTCTAAGAATATTTTCTTAGAAATGCAGACTCTCAGACCCCAGTACAGATCTACTGAATCAGAATTTGCATTCTGACAAGATCCCTGGTTGGTTCACATTAAGGTTTGAGAAGCATTGATATATACATGCCATATTTAGTTCTATAGCCTACTTTGTCACTTACAAAAACTAGAAAGTTTTCATTTTCTCTCTGTTCCCCATTCATTAACAATCGTTAACAATGCCATGGAAATAGTACTTTGTAGAATTGGGAAAGCATTTAGACATTACAAAAGAGTGAAATAGATACTGATTTGTGAATTGGCAAGGAGATCTCTAAAAATCTTCAAATTTTTTTTTTTTTTTTAAAGAGTCTTACTATTCTAAAGTTTCATAATGAAACATTGATTACTGGAGTTCAAATTGTTTCTGAAATGTGGTTCTTTTATTATCTCAGAATGTGAGACAATACTTATTTATTTATTTTTATTATTTTTATTTTTTTAAAGATTTTATTTGACAGAGAGAAACACAGCGAGAGAGGGAACACAAGCAAAGGGAGTGGGAGAGGGAAAAGCAGGCTTCCCGCCGAGCAGGGAGCCCGATGCGGGGCTCAATCCCAGGACCCCGGGACCATGACCTGAGCCGAAGGCAGACGCTCAACGACTGAGCCACCCAGGTGCCCCGACAATACTTATTTAAAATCCCCTTGAGGGAAAAAGGGCAGGAAGTCGTTAAAGAAAGCACAGTTGCAACACATGTGCGGCTGAATCAGGACTTGTCAGCCTTGAGCACTCTCTGCTAACGAATAGTGAGGGGGTGGGGAGAAAGGTGGAGCCTGAATGTGAATAAACTGATTCAGAGGAGAAAACAAAGGCTGTGACTCTTGGACACCCTGATACATTTATAACTCTAGTCAGTACTTTGCTCTTTAATTAGGGAGGGCAAATCTTTATAACCTTGCTAGATGAAGATAAGAGAAGACAATAAGTGCAGTTTACTTTGGAAAAGAAATCACAATCAGTTCTTAGGCACTTGAGCTGCCAATATTTAGCAACAAAATGGTAGACCTGGTCAGCTTCAAGGCGTGGAATCAACTTTAAATTCAAATTCAGATTCTAAGTGTAAGAGAGAATGGATACTTTTGGGGAGCCTGCAGCCTTCACAAAATTGGGTTCTTGTTTGATACAGGAAGGGAGTCAGGCAACATCACTTGGCACTTGGCAGGGAAGCAAAGGTAGGCAATGAAGAGGGAAAGTGACCAAGATGACCTTAACATTATCCTCAGCTTGACCAAACTAGACAGGTTTCTTTCTGACTGCTTCTGACCCTCCCTTTTCTTGGAGCATTTTCTTTAGAAACTTGCAATTGGAAATTCGTTCTTTGCCTTTTTGACATGTAAATCTTTCAACTTCTTGTCTGTTTTGCATCTGAGGAATGTCCTTCTCAAGGACCTGGGAGCCGTCTCTTGGAAATGTAATCAAGAAAGACAGGGTCCCTAACTTCCAGTCTCTGGGAGAGGGTAAGAGCCTACCTTAATAAGTATCAATTAGCAAACAAGATGGATTAATTGAATTGACCAACGTCCCCCCACAATGTCCTCCAGTACTTTTCCACTGACTTAACCCAGTGCTAAAAACTCCCCCCACCTTTTATTTCAGGGGAGTTGAGTTCCGTCTCGCTCTCCTATTGCAATAAATGCTTAAATTTCTTTATAAAGTCTTGAATAAATTCTTCCTGGACTGGTCAATTCTGTTTGGTACAATTTTTCTTTGACAGTAGTGAAAAAAAGGAAGGGTTCATACATGCTCTGATTGGAAGCTGTTAGCATGGAGAAGCTGGAGCTGGGCTATCTAGAGAAACTTTTTTTAGGATTGGCTTAGGGCTTTCTCTGGTGTGTCCTGAGCTGGAAGGGTACAAAAAGAATAGGGAAGCCAGCAGTCACTGACCCCAAGTTCTGATCTTTCTGGGCTGATGGCAGCAGAAGCTGTGGTTCCCAAACTACTTGCTCCACAAGTTGTAGGTCAGAATTCTACAACCAGATAAATAATATCAGCCTCATGGGATTTTTTCTAAGAGTAAGTAAAGATACTTGGAATAACAATAATACTCAAAATTAGCTATTATAATACTCTGGTTTCTCTTCAGATCGTATAAATCTTTCGCCTTTTACAAAATTAGCTATTATATTATTATTATTATTATTATTATTATTATCTGTGCTGCTGTTGTTTAGTTCACTTTTTATCCTAACCCAGGCTTTAGTCTTGAATAACAAAGAACAGAACACATATAACACAAGAAATCCTATGAAAACCAAACCAATGGCTTTTACAAAGATGCTTTTCTGTCTTTTCCATATAGTATCATACATATCCTGGCCATTGTCCATTTTTATATTCAGTCTTTCATTAATTTTAGGAATGTCTTGAAGACAGAATTAGAAACCAGAAGACCTAGTCACAGAATTCCTTTTTGGAGACAATCACATTCTATTTATTTCTTGGAAGCATTCAGAGTGCAGCATTGCAAGGAGTTTCTTCATGGGGGTGAGATATGCTTCGGTATGGTTCAGTCCTGACTGTTCGGACCCAAAATGCTACATAATGGCTCAGTGCCACCTTCCTGAGGTAAGGGCTGTGTAGGGTCTACCTGGGCATGGGTATTACCCAGTGGTCACTGAGGTTGTTGGGTGCATAAGACTAATCTTAAGGCTGGTTTGTTGGACAATGTGCCCCAGGCCCAAAACCCTGAATGTTAAAGCTGATTCTATACCCACTGGATTATCCTTAGTCATATGTCCACCTTCCAAAAAAACTCTTGTGACTTGGAGGTTATTTTGGAGTTTTTTGGTTTGTTTTAAAAGATTTTTATTTTATTCATTATTTTATAGAGAGTGTGAGAGAGAGAAGGAGAATGAGTAGGGGAGGGGCAGAGAGAGAGAATCTCCAGCAGACTCCCCACAGAGCACAGAGCCTGATGGGGGCTCCATCTCATGACCCTGATATCATGACTTGAGCTAAAACCAAGAGTCTGATGCTCAACTGACTGAACCACCCAGGCACCCCGACTTTGAGTTAATTTTGAAAGCTGACTAGGTCTATGGAAACGTGGATGTAATTGAATTCCCAAATTCAACTTACTTGGGAGAAGGGTAGGGGAGTATAATGGGCACCAAATAATTTTTACCAAACCAAGAGAACTTTCAGGGAGGACTTCTGTAAATAGTCAACTCCATAAAGATTGATTCTCTGACAGCTGGTCTCCATGTCTCAGAGAAAAGCCTGAGCATGCCTGTGGATTTCCCACGCCAGCCTCAGTATTAATCCAGATCCCTGAGGTTATAAGGTTCAGGCTGTGCAGTCCTTCTTTTCTTTTCTTTTCTTTTTTTCTTTTCTGGTCTTTTTTTTTTTAATTGAAGTATAATTAGCATACAATATTACATGAGGTTATACAGTCTTTCTATCCCCACATAACTGAGTGGGAAAATGTACAAATGTATAAGTGAAATAATTCTATGATCAAAAGGTTGGAGTGGAAGAAAGGAGATTCTGTGACCTGTATTGAATGGCATGCCAAGGACTAGGCAATGGTCAGGGTTTGTCCCAGGAGCAAAATATAAGCCGTGTGTCATCTTTAGAGATCCTAAAACTGTGATAAAACTGGACTAAAAGTCTGCTTTTATCATCACCAAGTGCTTAGTGATAAAATACTCCTTTCTGAAAAAAACCTGTTGTTGATCTAAATTCTTAAAACTTGCTGCTTACTTTTTGAATTTTAATAATACAGATGTAAGCTTGAAATTAACACTTTAAAATTTTTCTTTTCCATTTTTTTAATGGGGAAGATAATTTTATTTTTATTTTTATTTTTTTTATTTTGGAGGAGGACGGTATAGAGGCAGAGGGAGAGTGAGAAAGAGAATCCCAAGCAGGCTTCACACCCAGCATGGAGTCCAACAGGGGACTCAATCTCACAACACTGAGATCATGACCTGAGCCCAAATCAAGAGTTGGACGCTAAACCAACTAAGCCACCCTGGCGCCCCTATGGGGAAGATAATTTAAAGATCTTTTCCGTGTTGTCCCCCTAATATCTCTCTCACACATATGTGGAATCAACTACATGTGTTCATTTTGAGAGTAAATTCCTAAGGGTTCAGAATCTAATATCTCTCTCACACATATGTGGAATCAACTACATGTGTTCATTTTGAGAGTAAATTCCTAAGGGTTCAGAATCTCTTGAACTCACTCAGAGTGCACTTTGTGTCTCCATCCTGTACATAGTCCTGCATCCCAAGATTCAGTATAAACATTAATACAGCAACTATAGTGATTAGGAAAATGAAGTTGAGTTACTTCAATTCTGACATTGTATGTGCCATTATGTGTAAAATTTAAAATAAGGAAACATTAAATTAAATGTTAATTAAATTTAAACAAGAATTAAAGTAAGGAAATATTTTCTGTTTGATAAGTGCAAATTTAGTTCAGACATAAACTATTTTACTGGATTCGGATAATATATTTAACATTAAATTCATTTTTTATTCATTATTTTAAAACTGAAGAGTGAGGGGCGCCTGGGTGGCTCAGTCGTTAAGCGTCTGCCTTCGGCTCAGGTCATGATCCCAGGGTCCTGGGATCGAGCCCCGCATCGGGCTCCCT